TCACTATTTTAGCAAGAAAACAAATACTACTTTTAATTACAATGAGGAACCTGTGCAAAGTGTTTGCCTTAACTTCTGCCAAAATATACACAATCTTTTTCTACTTTATTGTTGTTCTAGCTGTCCCCCTAATTCCACACCTGGACTGATAACATTTCCGTTCTTCAACAAGCTTCGCTAGTCGTATCTCAATGTTTCAATGAATAATATTAATGCTTCAAACCAAAATAAAAAGAAGACAGTCATTGAGGTCAACATCCACTACCTCCTCATGTTGCTTATTTGCTTAGCTTGAAAAGATTACCTTCAATATTTAAAATGAGCTAGTTACAGAGTAATGGATGTAACATCTATAGTCTTATCGACGTTTTTGCCTACAGAAACATAACACAAAACAACAAACAAAAGCAATAATGACGGTAAACCCACACACAGAAGCAATAATAATAATTGTTTGTTTGTTTAGTGTTTGTCCTTGGTTTGCGGTGGAAGCTGCAAAAGAAGAAAAAGATTATATGAGAAACCATGAGAAAAAACTGTAGTCTTGCATTCTCAAAACCTAAATTCGAAAAACGAGGTTTGCTACCGGTATAATTACACTGTCCATGCATCCAAATCGCAAGTTAATAAATGAAATACGATGAAAAAGCAGACGGTTGACATGGGACTAGACAAACCACGAACATTATTCCAACTTGTACATATCACTAAACACTGAACAAAAACGGTATACAATGCTGTCTAAAACCAATTGAAAGGCTGACCGGACGGCTGAAAAGGATAAAATTAATGCCAAATATTTCGGTTAGACAGGACTGAAGTAAAATGGATAAAACGGTTACAAAATTTGAAATAATACTAAAGGATATATGTGACATGATAGGTTGAAAAAATAGAGAAAAGGGAAACGTGTACTAAAGCGGATACATTTAAAAATATAAATAGATTAAATTTCGTCACGCCTGTTTATCCCAGAAGGTTGAAGAGTCTGGCCCTCGGAGATCAAAAATACCTGTCTTGTCTTTCATTACATTGGTCCTTGTATTACAGTTTATCCATATAATACTGTCNCGAAAAACGAGGTTTGCTACCGGTGTAATTCCACTGTCCATGCATCCAAATCGCAAGTTAATAAATGAAATACGATGAAAAAGCAGATGGTTGACATGGGACTAGACAAACCACGAACATCATCCCAACTTGTACATATCACTAAACACTGAACAAAAACGGTATATAATGCTGTCTAAAACCAATTGAAAGGCTGACCGGACGGCTGAAAAGGATAAAATTAATGCCCAATATTTCGGTTAGACAGGACTGGAGTAAAATGGATAAAACGGTTACAAAATTTGAAATAATACTAAACGATATATGTAACATGATAGGTTGAAAAAAATAGAGAAAAGGGAAACGTGTACTAAAGCGGATGCATTTAAAAATATAAATGGATCAAAATTTCGTCACGCCTGTTTATCCCAGAAGGTTGAAGAGTCTGGCCCTTGGGGATCAAAAATACCTGTCTTGTCTTTCATTACATTGGTCCTTGTATTACAGTTTATCCATATAATACTGTCACCAATTCAGGAAATGGCTTGGAGAGACTCACCGTCGGAGAATCAACGTGCACACGTGTACTTAAACTGAGTATATGCCAAATGTCTTGCTAAATTTACTCAAAATTGTGCATTTCCCTTTTCAGATGCCAAAAGCTATGGTTTAAAAAAAAAAACTCGGGGTCACCGGGTTAATTTTTTTAGTTATTAGTGACATGAGCGAAAAATCAGGTCTGGAAAATCCTTTTGGAATGTTGCCATGGTAACTGCTGACGACAAAATAACAGCTGTTTTAGGTCAAGTATAAATTATGTAATCCAAATCTACAAAAATATTACAGTGGCCCTGGTCTGTCTTTTTGTTCTATTCTTACAAAGTTATGAGCCATCAAAAACCTGAAAACTGG